TATATAAATTTAAAATTAATTTATAATTTACTAACAAAGTGTTATGATAAAGTAACCTATTAGTCGCTCCTAGTCTACAACTCTTCAATTGAAAAGCAAGTCAACAATTTTTTAGATATATTTTTAGATATATTTATACCTATTTCTGATATAAATAGACTGAACTGTTTATTTATACGTATGAACGTCATGTGGTATAATATTTACCTTTATGTATCTAATATGCAGTTTATAAAGGTAATCAGGATATGTTTACCAATATAATTACATAAACTCATATGTACTTTGTACATGTAAATAATATATATGTTTACATAAGTGTTTATTTTCAATTTGGTATGCAACTTAATATGTAATTTGTGGAAAATGATTAAATCATTAACCCTATTACGGAGCACTTTTGACCCTAATGTGAGTTTGCATTATACGTTAACAACCACAAAGTTTACCTATTGACATATTGACAAGATGTTGTTGACCCTTGGCACTCATCCACACCCACATCCATAGAGAAGAATATTACTCGAATTTGGCTCAGCAGGATATCATAATTTTTGTGTTTAATTTTTCTTAAAATTTGCCAAAATTAACAGAGAAATATCAGCATATTTCACTTGCCAATCGGTGCTGTGTGGCTTATAATATTTCTTTTTTGTTCTTTAGATTTTTGGTTATTCCTTTGGTGTTGCTTTATTATGTGGCGACCCTTTTTCGTATTGGGCGGAGAAATTCTTTATTGGCGCCGCAGGATGTCTTCGGTAAATGTAAACCAAATATGAAAAAATATTGGGAGCAAAGGTTGCCAGCATTTATAATAACTTACGGAACTTCATATTGCTATTGCCTTCTCTGCGAGTATTTCTGCCTCTACTTCTGAGAACTTTTGCAAATGATTTATTGTATATCAAATTGTTGTTGCTATCGGAGTTGTTGATGTTGTTGTCCATTTCTACTGTTATTGCTGTTGGTATTGCTGTTAGTATTGCTGTTGCTGTTGCTGTTGCTATTTAATATTTTAGTTGCCTTTGGTGAAGGCAGATTTGACGAAGGTTTGAATTCTTATTTTATTGTTTCTATTTGCCTCTTAACTTATATTTTACATGCCTATTCCCATTTTCCCAAATTACAGTGCATAAAAAAGATTTTTCCATTTCATTTTTATTTAGTTTAATTTTATTTTTTATTTGTTTGCTTATTTTCTTTTCTCTTCTTTGCTTTTATTTTACTTATTGTTTTTATTTTCTTTTACTTATTCATTTATTTATTTATTTATTTTTCTTTTAAATACTCACAATTCCTTCTTTTCAATTTTTAACACAACATTGAAGTTTATTGTGGTTTCTCTCTCTGTATTTACTCATGTTTTGTGAAAGGTCACTAATGTGTTCCTGGCTTGGAATTATTGATGACCAACAATAAAAAAAAATATCCTTATTTAAAATGTTTAAATGTATTTACAATTTAGCCAGTCTTTGGGTTAGAAACTTTGGTGATTTTAAAACTTTTCACTTCACAAATCATTTTGGAAGCTTTCTTCTTATTTTTGCTTGTTTCACAAGAAATTTATATGTATTTTTTAATGAATTTTTAAAATAAAGAATAAGTGAGGTCCTCTTAATCATTTGTTAGTAATTAAGTTATTATAGAGAATGAGTGATTATATTGATGAAAAGGATACAAGCTGTTAAGGACAGCGTAAAGAAATCAGGTTAGTTAATTGAATTTTAATGAAGATGTTAGTAACCCTTGAAGCAAGTTCATCAATTACTTCAATAAGATCATAAGCATCTTAAGACAATTACCTATAATGAATTACCAAAATGCTTCATACCCACTTCTTTAAAATTTTTAATTGTTGTAATAACTATATTATTACATAAATGAATACCATCTAAATAAATAAATAATGCCTCTACAAAAGGATAGTATTGAAATTTAACTGTTTAACTAAAATAAAAATATAATTAATTAATTCAATTATTCTACAATTAGTTCATGATTTCGGTCGGGTATTGAATACTGACTCTGAGCTTCAAATTTGGCAGGGGACGATTTCAACCTCTAGGTATTTGCAGTCTTAAAAAACTATTTATGAATAATTTAATAATAAAAAAAATTTCAAAATCACTAATAATGGGTATTTGACAATACTCCCAATAGCTGTATGATCACACGGTAAATTTATTGTTGTAATTTAATACTATATGAAATACATCTCTATTGAAAACAATAATTTATATTAAGTATTCAGTTTCTTTCGTCAAAATAGACGTTAAAATTCAATTAAATAAATACGGAATTGAATTACTGGAATTGAAATACTAAAATTTAAAATTCTAGTATTGCAAAATGAAGTATGTTCTAACCTACGAAATTGTTAGTTTACGAACAAAATTTCATAAAGAGACTACTTGCGAATATATCTTAAAATAAGTTTGCAACCAATGTATGTCACTCCTTATAATGTTTGTTTATAATATATTAATTCATGCAAAGTACTCTATTCAGAAGTTTTGAGCGTGATCTATATAAGAAAAAATCGAATGACAGAGATGGTTAAACTAATGTAGTCAATCATATGACGAAATAAAACTGGAGTCACATCAATCACTTGTCGCAGTTTTTAAGAATCTAAAGGACAAAAGATAAAGATGTGGAGTTATTTTTAATTAGTTTTATACAAATTATATCTCAAATAAGACTAGATAAAGAAAATAAGTTTGTCTTAAAATACACATCGTCGAATAAACTTATAAAAACATACTTTACTCGTGTTTTTATTTCGACACATAATTCTCTCTCAACTTGATCATTTCACCGGAGACACGGTCTACCTCTCTGCCTTCTTTATACAACTATCACGTCAAATACCTTTTTCTTACGACATGATTAACCCAGCGTAGCAGCTGGAAGGTAATTCGCTGAATTATGTCAAAATCGTGTTAAACCTCGTACAGCTTGTGATTCAATCGAATGCGCTAATCGTCTCCAACTTATAGAGAATCAAAGTTCTTACGAAGAGTTACCATATGGCCATATGACATACGTACGATCAATTTTCTGTATTTTGATTTGAAAAAGAAGAATTATCAATACCAAGATCAATAAAGACTTATTGATAACAAAAGCACAGTGCTAATACAAGGTTAGAAGATAAGACTTAAAAATCTTAATGACAAGTGTGTTTTATTTATATTTGGTTCCAAACTATACACCACCACAAAAATGAATAATATTACACATTGTTCAACAATGATATAAGAGTTTACTTTAGCATATCAAAATATATTCTAAGCTTAATTGAATACTATTAATACTATACTATTAAAATATTCAAAATCTTTTAAGCTATAAAGTGCTGGTATGTGTTATTAAATGTTGCTGAAGATTTATAAATATTTTTCTTTTGACTAATTATTTCTAAAGATTAGGCCAATGAAGATATTGCAACTAATAAGAGGTGAAGCATTTTGGAACAATTGAATTGTAAAAATATTTAAGTGTAAACAATAAAAAATTAAACAAAAGTAAATACAAATAAAAATTAATAAATAAAAACTTTATTTAAATAAAATAAGTCTTGCCATCTCAAGGTATCGACAGCAATTTATCTACTTACTACACTTCAAGCCATAATTTATTTTTGTATTTACTGTAAAAAACTGAGCAAATTGTACAAGTAAATTTTATTAACCAACTTAAAATATTTATTCTTGCAGTTTAAGTGACTTGAAAGCTTTCAACTTTTACACTAAACTCATACTATTTAGAAACTATATCCACAGCGGTTTAAGTAATTCCAATAAGGATTGCTTTCTAAATATTTGTTTGCAGCAAATCCACCGGCACGAAGTCTATTTATACTCAGAACTCACAAATAAGCAACAAATTGAAATGGCAAATTTAAACAAAAATGTAATGAATTAATTTTCAATTCATTTTCAAATTAAAATACAAATTTGCATATGCATCCAAAGTCAAACTTCAATAGAAATTTACCCTCTACTTCTCAATTTAAACAGACTTCTCTCACGTTTCTCGTAAAAGACAATAGATATTACTATAGTTGCCAATAGCACAATGTATCTTATATTGACAACTTACAGTAAACAAAAGAAAGAAATTCTCAATGCAACTTTAAAAACAAACTACAAATATACAAGTGACTATATAGATAAAATTACAAATGCACAGTAGCAGATATTTTGTGTATCTTTGGTAAATTTACACAAAATCTTGTCAAATATATCTAATGGCATTATTTTGTTGTCAGACATTATACTCTGTTGTTTCTGCTTTTTGTCTCACTGCTGTTAATGCCTGGCATTATTTCTGAGGAATATCATTATTGAGTTAGTTTTCGTTGCCTCATTGCCAAAATTATTCTCCCACTCCAAGTGGTTGTACCATTGGTTGGTACGTGGGCTATAGTTATTCTGCAGTTTTAATTTTCTTAACTGATACCACATGGCTTTGCCTGATTATTTTCATTTACGAGTAAATTTAAATTTGATTTTACTTTCGATTCCTTTGAGATTTATAAATTTTGTACTAATGTACTCGATTTCCAGTTGAACATTACAAACTTCTCACAAGGACACACTCACAATTGCAGGTGTGAATCCTTGTCTTTTGGCAGGTAATTGCTTATGGAATGTGTGTTGTTATTTTGTTGATAGTTGCCATTATGATATCTGAAATATTATAAGCAATTTGTCGACACATGTTTAGCATTGCTGGTTGAAGTTGGCATTCAAATTGAAATTTATCTACAATTTATTATACTGCTATTTACTCGGTATCAACTGCTTGTACATCTTAACTACAATGTCAAAATGTCAATTTGAATGTATACAAAAGATACTTGAAACTAATACACAATATAAGTGCATATCAAATATACATAATTGGTATACAATTAATAAACTACAATTTATTTGTTATACATTTTGGCTCTTTGATGGATTTCACAATTAAATGATTTTGTTTCTTTGTTTCAGCAATGAGAAGTTTTACACCTGCTGTGATGAGCCATATTTAGATATTACATTCAATATCACAATGCGCCGCAAAACGCTTTTCTATACCGTAAATTTAATTATACCGTGCATGGGCATTAGTTTTTTAACAATTTTGGTTTTTTACTTGCCATCAGACAGTGGCGAAAAGGTAAGTAACGCAATTGAATTAAATCATTTTAATTACTTATAATTAATTACTTATAATTAAAACAAGTAAACATATTAACTTTACGTAAGCTTTGATATCCCTGTGAAAGGATCTTGAATCTATATTGAGACATCATTTATATGATGTAAGATATATGTAAGATAGTTGATAGATAGTTAAGATAAAAGATAATGTGTATTTGAATTTAAGATGCTTACAGTTGATTAACAAACTAATTAAACAAAATATAATGAAATGAATAAACTGCCGCAACCGACCGCAACCGAACTACTTCTTCTGCTGACTACTTTACTACTCTCTCCTTCTTGACTATTTTCCTTCCGTACTAAAATTAATAGCACTCTTTCGTCCGCCCGATCAATTGTAGCAGGTGTACCTCAAGGGTCGCCTTTGTCTCCCACATTGTTTAATGTATACACGGCAGACATCCCCACCTTAAGTCTCACATCAATGGCGCTTTACGCAGACGACACATGCTTGATCTACTCGGATCGGGATGCCATAAATGTAAGCAACACGTTACAGGGAAATATAGACCTTATGGTGGAATACTTCCAAAAATGGAAGATTAAAATTAATAATGACAAAACCAAGGCTATATTTATAACTCGAAAAAGAAGACAGCATCCTCCAAGAGTGAGCGTTTGCGACACGGAGATACGGTGGGAGGATAACATAAAATATCTGGGGGTCACTTTTGACAAACGGTTCAATTGGCTTAAACATTTGAAATACAAACGGAATAGTTGCTCTAAGATTCTACATTTATTAAAGCCGCTATTTAATAATTATCACTTCAACTTTAAAAACAGAAAGTTACTTTATACGCAAGTAATTAGACCTGCACTTCTGTACGGATGTGTTACATATAGCAAAGCCTCAAATACCACCTTAAAGCAATTACAGATAGCTCAAAACCTGGCCTTAAGAAAACTGTTTAAGATTCCATGGTACATTAGATCAACGGACATACATAGAGATCTTAGGATTGACTCAGTGAAAAAATATATCAGAGACAGAGCTTTAAAATTATTCACTAAAGTTGATACGCTACTTAACCCTGCCATAGCAATCCTCAAGTCCACTTCTGGACTCTCAGGAAGATATGCTGATTTAAGGTCCGTCATCAATTAAAAGACAAATAAATGATATGATTTTTTAGCCTAGTTAAAGCCTAGTGTGGGGTAGTGATAAACCCCCCCGCCATTATAGAGTAAAAGTGCGTAATAGCACTAACTCAAGAAGAAGAAGAAGAAGAGATATAAAATTAACATTGTCAAAATGTTAGTTACCGTACTCCTCCGAAACGGCTTTACCGATTTTTACCAAATTTTATATGCGTATTCAGTAGGTCTGAGAATCGGCTACTATCTATTTTTCATACCGCTAAAGTGATTAGGGAGTCCCTACCCAGTAAAAATATCCTTAGTGCTTAACAAAAAATTTTTTATTTTTTTGACATAAATTTTGTTTATATTTTTGAAAAAGAAAAATTTTTTCTTAATATTTTATGTAACTACGCCAACAAGTACATCGAGCATTTACATCGACTTCGTTCTTCGTCTTCGGCTTGCATGGCAGATGGAAAATGTACTAAAAATTTTTCTAAAGATTTCACTAATGATACTATAACAAATACCGACGGATATCCAATATATCGTCGAAGAAATCCCGATAATGGGGGACAATGGCGGGTGGTAACGTATTCGCCTCTGCTAAGCAAGACATACAATGCTTATATTAATGTTGAGTTTTGCAGTTCTGTGAAGAGCATCAAATATATAAGTATGTCCATAAAGGCGGTGGTATGGCTGTGTTTAGAGTAGAAAATACTAATGTAAATGCTCCTCCAATGAACAAAAACGGTGAAATTACGCTCTACCAAATTGGTCGGTACATCACCTCCAATGAAGCTGCTTGGCGTATCTTCGGCTTTCTAATTCATGAACGGGATCCAGCAGCTGTTCAGGTAGCCGTCCATCTTGAAAATGGTCAGCGTGTATTTTTCACGAACGAGACAGTGATTGATCGTGGTACAAATCCACCTAAATCTGCACTCACTGCATTTTTTGAATTGTTTAATAGTACGGATGATTTTGGTGCCTTTGCAAAAACATTACTCTATTCACAAGTACCACGCTATTTCACATGGCCTTAAACAAAAAAATGGATGCCCCGCAAGCAAGTTTCACCAGTTGATGCATGTCTCAATTTATTTAAATCGAACGCTTATTTACAGTTAATCCGAGACACACTAAGTGCTTCGACTGTTGTTGGTTAATGTTACTGGCCCATTATCATTATTATTATTTACAGTCAATCCAAGACAATTTAAATTTGAAGATACAACAGTTGTTGCCAGGGAACTTGTTACCATACAAATCTATTGATTTTAAATTAATAATTTAATAAATAAACTATAATAACTTAAAAATAATATTGTTTGGCGTTTGTTATTTTTATTTTCCTTTCCTTTCATATCGCTCCATGCCTATTTCATGCATATACCACATACTTACACACTTATAATAAGTAAGTTACTTTTTGTCTACACTAGAATTTATCTAAAAACTAGAAATAATTTATAAGGCAAAACAACGTTTGTCGGGTTATCTAGTATCATATATAATACAAAAACATATATTATATATTGTATAATTATTAATACTTATAATGCTAATACTACAAACTTTTTCTTTACGCTTATGATTCTTTAGATATTAAAGACATTGCAATCTTAGCTCAGAAATATATGTGAAATAGATTCCAGCTTTATAACCTCTGCACTTCACCTTATATGAAATACTAATTTTTTCGTTGCGAATACGAAGACGGATATATGTATACTCACAGACAGTCAGGGTGCTATTAAAGCTTTTTTACTACTTACTTCTGTTTTAAATTAGTTCAGTAGAGTACACAGAATAGACGTCAACCCTGTGATATCAAAAACTACAATCTATCGGGCTCTCTAATATGCGGACTCTCTGATTCATTCAGTGTCAACTATTTTGCTGCGAATAAGAAGGACATATTTTATATTCACACTCAGAAATCTATATTACTTCCCACTATATTACTTCCCAGTTGATCAGCGTTCTCCTTCCCCGGTACACCCCTCTTAACAGTATTTCAAATTAGAAATAACTTGACGCAGTTACTATATGGGTTAATTTTTGATCTACATTACCTAATTTAGAATACTAAACATTACCTAATTTAGAATACTAAATTAGGTAATGTACATTGTGACCGAAAGGTTTTCGGAAATTCTCATTTAAAATTCGCGCGCTGTATATTTTTCGATATTTTAAGTTTATGTAGTTTGGCAGCACTGTCCTTAATTACTATGCCAAAAATGAGCGCGATCTGTCAGACAGTTCGTTTACGGCAGCTGTTGAAACCAGTTCACCTCAGTAGTGCGTTGCGAAAAAAACAATGGAAAAAAATATTGAACAAAGAGTTTGCATCAAATTTTGTTTTTCGAACGAAATTTCGTGTGCAGAATCGTTGCGAATGCTACAAAAGGCTTATGGGGAATCAGTTTTATCGAAAACTCAAGTTTATGAGTGGTACAAAGCCTTTCAGGACTGTCGTACGACCGTCGAAGACATGCCGCGTTCTGGACGACCTTCGACCTCTACCACCGACGAAAACATTGAAAAGGCAAAGGAAATCGTGTTCAAAAATCCTCATGTGAGTGTTAGAGAGATAGCACGAGAGCTAGGCATCGGTCGTGAGATGGCTCGTTTGATTTTGGTGGACAATTTGTGTATGCGACGTGTCAACGCCCGGCTTGTTCCGATTCACCTCAATTTGTTCAACATTATCAACGATTTTAAGGCCAAACATTCAATAAATACCATCGAACAGCCACCGTATTCACCTGATCTTGCACCGTGTGACTTTTTCCTGTTTCCCAAACTCAAATTACCACTCAGAGGAACGCGTTTTGAATCCATAGAAGACGTAAAACAGAATTCGCAGAGGGAACTCAAAGCCATACCGGAAAGCGCCTATAAAAAATGTTTTGATGATTGGAAGAAACGTTGGCATTTGTGTATCGCTTCTAATGGAGCATATTTTGAAGGAGATAAAATAAATATTGATGAAGGTTAAGAATTTTGCGTTTTATTTAAAATTTCCCGAAAACTTTTCGGTCACAATGTAGATCAAAAATTAACCCATATAGTAACTGCGTCAAGTTATTCCTAATTTGAAATACTGTTAAGAGGGTTGTAGCGGGGAAGGAGAACGCTGATCAACTGGGAGATTCGGTACTCTCTACACAGAACCTCCCTTAGTTATAAATACAGAAAGTAATTCAATTTTTTTAATAATTGTAAAATAATTGTATATTTTTATTTAAAATTTTATTTAAATATCCTTGTCTTTATTTCAATTACTAAAAAATGTTATATAAAATATTAATCAAATATAAACCTCTATTTGACCATTTTTATATTTCTCTCTCAAGGAGAAAATGCATCAACAAATTCTTGTTAGTAAATGGCGATGAGGCAATTTATTTCCCATTAATTGATGTCATAAATTTTAATGATTAATTTTAGTAGTAAGCATAAATTCACTCCTCAAATACAAAGGATATAACCATAATAAACTATATACATAAATTATGATAATAAAATTAATGAAAATGCTGATTTCAAATCAACATTTTGAATTGAATAAAGAAAATAAAATAGTTCAAACAAAATATTTGCTAAATAATTTATTTATTTATACGCTCAAAACTAAAAACAACAAATAATATGTTCCAAATATTTGAACATTTGAACATTTGAGTCCTTCATGCATGTTGACATATCGAATGCAATTGACTGAAATAATATTTTCCGCATTGGAGTATGCAATTTAGTAGACTGCATGGCAATAATTTTTATAAAAGTCGTTTTAACAAAATATTTGCTGCACGTGACCTTATCTGTGCAACCCGTTCATCCCATTCAGCCCGCAAA